GTGTGCTCGCTGGAAGCTGGCGTGACCCGAAGCGTCAGAGACTCACAGGAGTTAGGACCTCTTTCCTTTCGTCTTCCTGGACTGGATGATAGTTCTTAGATCTGTCTTCTCAGGAGGCTGAGGGTGAGAACGCTGTCTAGAGTCCCAAGCTCTTTGAGAGGGACCTCTAGAAGCGACACTCCCCTTCTGGCTTTGACGGTAGGAGCTGGATGACGGAGGTGACTACCTCTCTTTAGCATTTCCTGGACCTCGACCGGCAGGGGAGATACTGCCTAAAAGCCTCATTCTGCTTTTTAGCATCCTGAAATCTGTCAACAACAGCATTAACTGCCTCGCCGAACAGACCAGAGGTGGAAATAGGTGCATCAAGAAGAAAGGCCCTGTCCTTTTCCTTTATGCCAGAGAGATTAAGCCATAGATGTCTCTCCGTGGTTACCAGTGCAGACATGGAGTGGCCAATGGTGCAATTAATATTTAATTTTTCCACAGCCCACGTCACCACATCCAAAAGCTCCTCATAGCTCGGTGCAGATTGTGTATGTGTGTGTGTGTGTGTGCTTCATGCAGATCCCCCTCCGCGATGTTGAGCACGTCTAATTCCTCGGAATCAGACAGCTGCAACACTGGGTCTACATCCCGAACAAGAGAAGCAGCGGAGCGGGCTCCCGAACGGGGGATAGGGGAATCTGAGCTTTCAGATGAGGATTGGGAAAGTGCCTCGGCAGTCCCGATCCCCTCTGAAAGCTCTCTTTGCGAGCCCCACGATCTAAGCCGCCGCATCGCCTCGGCAGATGCGGGACCTGAACCGCGGGGAGCACTCATCTGACCATCTGCATTAAATAAGGCCAGGTAGGAACGTAGCAATCTCAAAGAAAGAGATTCACAGTGGCCGCAAGCAGCCCCCTCGAGAGCTGCTTGGGCGTGCTGCATTCCCAGACATGATACAAACATCTTGTGTGTGTCCCCCGCCATGATAAAAACGAGGGCTTGGGAACACACACTTTTTAAACTGCTCACTCTCCATGATAACAAGGCAATAACAGAGACAAACAACCAAATAGGACAAACTGATTCAAACAACACAGAGCGCTTGCTGAATAGCATAGAACTGACTTTGCTTGTGCCGGCGTGCCTTTATACACATCAGTGTATGGCGTCACATGCTACGTCATCACGCAACGCCAATAGGATTGGATTCGGTTTCATTCATAAATTCAGACGCGCTACGCTGAAGGGCGTTTCCCCCCCTAGTGTCGTCACCGACGCAGTTAGAGTTCCCTCGAAAGGTAACTTGGGTATCATTCTTGACCCTGCACTGACGTTCAACTCTTACATAAGTCAAATTTGTAAAGCGTCCTTTTTTCATCTGCGCCATATTGCCAAACTCCATTCCTATGTCAGTCCAAAAGACGCCGAGTGCACGCGTTCATCACATCACACCTTGACTACTGTAATGTTCTTTTTTCTGGACTACCAGCACACTCTATCTCACGTTTACAATGCATTCAAAACTCTGCCGCAAGACTACTAACTTGCACTAAAAAAAAATTCCCATATCACTCCAATCACTTACAAAAATCTTCTGCTCACCTTTAAGTCACTCAATTGTCTTTCCCCGGCCTACCTCTCGGACTTACCTACCCCTTATATTCCCCCTCGAACTCTCTGATCTTCTGGCTGTGGTCTCCTATGTGAGCAGAGATTTCGTCTATCGTCTATGGGCGGCAGGTCTTTCTCTGTTATCGCCCCTAAGCTATGGAACTGTCTTCCATTGGCTCTCAGGACAACCGCCACATTGCACGAATTAAAGTATAAACTCAAAACACATTTGTTTAACCAGTATTTCAGTCATGGAAATGTTAATTTGACATAACTCAGTCACAATGTTAACTTAGGCTCCAATCATTTTTGCATCTTTACTCCAACTGTACACTAGGCTGTCTATAATTAATGTTTGTTGTCTTTGTTTCTATGTTTGTATTGCAAATGTAATGTGACTTGCAACTGCAATCGCTCATTACTTGGACTGGGCAAATGTCCATTGTCCGTTTGTGTAAATTGTTGTTTTTACTGTCATTGTGAAGTGTACTTGAGCTTGGGAAAGGCGCTATATAAATTAAACTTATTATTATTATTATTATTATTATGTGGCCATGCCTCTGGTGGAGTGTGCTTTAACTCCGATAGGGAATTGTAGGCCCATCGACGTGTCGGCCAACGCAATCGCATGCACTATCTAGTGGGACAGTCTTTAATTCGTGGATGCACTTTGGTGCTGCGCTAGCCTGACTTCGTCATACTCATATTCTAGTGAGAATATGAGTCTGATACTGCTCCGTAGGGCTTTGATTATGAGGCTTGTCTTAACCGAACCAGGAGAAAAACAAACTCTGCACTCAGTTGGATAGTAGACATAGACCTACAACCAATCAGAGCAACGCAGTAAGTCAAATACTTTGCATAGCGCAGTTTTCAACTAATAGGCTATATACACAACTTACTTCCGCATTCTGTAAAACAGGTCGCATCGCTTCCAGTCCAGGTCTTATGTATGTGATTTGCATAACCAATGTCCCTCACATGTGCAGATTGATATTTAAACGTTTTATATTTTTTCTTCTTCACAGTAACATTTAGATATTTAAATGGAATAAAACGCCAATAACAAAGTGAACTAAGTAGGTTAGCTGATTACCTTAAAAATCCATAGATATCGTAGTCAGTTCTTACGACCGTTAACACTTTCTCTGACAAGCAGATGCGAGGAGACCTGTTTTCCGGTTTGGTCACGTGACGCTTGACATAAAGCCTTTTTACTTATTTTAGAAGTAAAATAACGAGTGTTTTACTTGGTCCTTCATGAGTGCGACCAAAGGAGAAACCACAACCACCACAGGCTTTTCATTAGTCCCATCTTCTTAGCGACCGTCGGAGCCAGCTGATAAGTTACACTTTAGCCAAATCATGTTGGAAGGACGGCAAAAATATCTTTCCGATCGACAAATGCTTTGATTGCAGTTCTCTGTTTGTCTATTAAAGTGAATGCGCTGTCGATTTATTTTACAACAGACGCGACAGCGGAATCTATACATCTCACAACATGACATCATGACTTTTGCGTAAACATATACGCCACTTTCGAGTCAGGTGGCGTGTTATCTCTACGCATTTTGAGCTATCCGCGTGTATCCACGTGTATGCGTATATGTCTACGCCATTAACGTCCGCGTCATTCCACGTGTCTGTACACGCAGTCAAATCTCCAGTCATAAATGCCATTAAAGGGTTAGTTCACCCAAAAATGAAAATTAAGTCATTAATTACTCACCCCCATGCTGTACCAACCCCGTAAGACTTTCGTTCGTCTTCGGAACACAAATTAAGATATTTTTGATTAAATTTGAGAGCTGTATAACTACCACATTGGCTGCCTAAGGGACTGCCTCTTGACGGCCCAGAAAGTCAATGAAGAAAATGTTTAAATATCCCAAGTGACTACCGTGGCTCAACTATATGTTTATCAAGCGACGCGAATACTTTTTGTGCGAAAAAACAAATAAAAATAACGAGTTTATTCGACTATTTCTTTTCTTCCTTGTAGGCCAGAAACGAGACTTCCTTAGATTTCCACGACGCATGTGCGAGAATTGCGATCTGAAGTAGTGCAGAGCGGCTCTGAAGTAGTGTAAGCAGATCGCAAATCTCGCGCATGCGTCGTGGAAATCTAAGGAAGTTTCGTTTCTGGCCTACAAGGAAGAAAAGAAATAGTCGAATAAACTCGTTATTTGTTTTTTCGCACAAAAAGTATTCGCGTCGCTTGATAAACATATAGTTGAGCCACGGTAGTCACTTGGGATATTTAAACATTTTCTTCATTGACTTTCTGGGCCGTCAAGAGGCAGTCCCTTAGGCAGCCAATGTGGTAGTTATACAGCTCTCAAATTTAATCAAAAATATCTTAATTTGTGTTCCGAAGACGAACGAAGGTCTTACGGGGTTGGTACAGCATGGGGGTGAGCAATTAATGACTTAATTTTCATTTTTGGGTGAACTAACCCTTTAACCCCAGTGACGGTTAAGTTTAGGGATGGGGTTGAGGTAAGTCATATCTTTTTTTTACCTAGGATGGTCATAAATGCCATTAACCCCAGTGACGGTTAGGTTTAGCGACGGGGTTGAGGTAAGTCATATATTTATATAACGTTTAGTCAACGGCGTTCATAAACACGCTGAAAGGCGATTATGCGTCTTGATAGCACGCCAAAAATGGAAATACGAATTGGCGTGTCATACACACGCTCCTTCATGAGAACAGTCTGCATCTCAATTCTCCAGCTACAGTCATCTTTGATAAAGTGATGATTACGTCCTTGCAGATCATCTGTCCATCATCGTATAAAACCCGCCCTGGCAATATGATTGGCCCAAACTTTTCTTGTCTGATCATAATTTCTCCTCAATGGATCGAGCCAGACCGAACTTCCCGACCAAAAAATGTTGTGGGCGGAGTTCGGGCTGGCAACCAGGCTAGTGCTGCGCCAGACTAATCTCAAATATTGTAAAGATCCCTTGTAAGGTTTCATTTTTTAAATGAACAACACTGACTACACCTGAGAGAAAGTTTAACATTTGGAATACAACCTCTTTTTGACTGCATTTATTCATGAACATGACACTCCATTTGTAGTCAGATTGTGCTTGAAGGAGATCATTCACTGTAGGCAGGGCAGCATATTGGGCCATGTTGGTCAATCCTGATGCTACACAACAGCTCATGTAATGAGTTATAATAAGTACAATTTAAGTTGAATGTATTGTTGTTGTTTCCCAAAAATCCTTATTTTATTACTGATATATTTGTTACTGTTTTTTTTTTTTTTTTTTTGCTAAATATGCCGATTTTTATATTCACTCTTTAAGGGACCTTTATTTTGACATTTTTTCTTGCCGCCGCGTTGGTGCCATTTTAGAGTGTGTGCGCGCGCCTCTTGCCAGTTTGTATTGAACGCGCTGGGGAGAGGTAAGCGTTTTGCAGAGCTCTTGAAATTATGAGCAAAATAAGTTTGCAAAGTGTATAAATTGGTTTAATACCCGTTTGTAATCAATGCAGGAATTGCATGGCGTGTTTTGTTGTATGTTACATGCATGAGTGGATTAATAATCTGAAGATTAATCGCGTGGGCCTTATATTGCATGAGTTTTGCGTGTATTAGCACGGTTTTGAGTCAACTGATTGGTGTTGTATCATGCAGGTGAAAGCAATGAGATGCCCTCATGGGATTTTTGTCATCTTTGTGATGTTGAACTTCAGGTATTCCACTTTTATTGCATTTTACATTCTTGTATTGTGTTAATATGTTATGCTTTAATATTATTTGTATGTTCATTAACTTTAATTGTAACAAAATGAGTTTGCATTGAACTCGCTGGGGAGAGGTGAAAGCTATGAGATGCCCTCATGTGATTTTTGTCATCTTTGTGATGTTGAACTTCAGATGCTGCGAAATCCATGCTGAACGTGACTGAATAAACCCCCATGTTGGTGAACTACAATACGTGTCCTAGTCCTATAATACACAACGCAGAGAGACTGAGAAGCGCAACAGCAGTCAGCGAGCGGACCAGTTACACTCAGACCACTGCGTAAATTGGCCATTTCATCTGCAACAAACCTGTATAGAAAACAGATGCAAGGAATGCAATGGAATATAGCCTGCATTAGACTTAGATATCTGCAGTGTGAAATGATCTGTGAGATTTAGTATTTGAGGAAGTTACCATTCATCTGTCATCTTATCATAGCACTCCACATCACAGGTGGTGCTTATTCCAGAGGGCTTATTAACCCTCCGACAGCAAACAACCGACCATTAACTACCTGGATTTTGAGGAAGTTAAAAAGGAAAATACATAATGTACAGCTTAAGTCTTTAAATTTACATTAATAAATCTCATTATAGATGCAACGCTTCATTTACAAGCGATACTTCAAGGGATACTCATAGTAGGAAAAAAATAGTAGTAGTAGTAGTAGTTCCATAGTAGTTCCATAGTAGGAAAAAAATACTGTGGAAGTCAATGAGACCAGAAACTGTCTGGTTACTGATATTCTTTTAAATATCATAAAATCGGCTGAATCAATTTGAAAACGGTTAAACTCAACTGTTTAACTCTGGGGGAGTTGTAAAATGAGCCTATTTCCAAAAAAAAGTGGAGTATCCCTTTAAATATCATTAGAATGTTTTGACACACATTGATATTTGAAGACTTTGATCGTTGACTTTTAAGACAATTTTAGGGTGCAATTATTGTCAATATGGGACCAAATACATTTTCCCCCATATTCATTATCATCAAATCATTTTTGTAAAGTAAGTTATTTCATAGTTTCACCAGAGACAGATATTAACTGACCACATCTCACCTCAATGCCAAAGTTGCTGCTTGGATTGTACATTGATGCCACGGCATGCCAATTGTTTGTCAGCGGATTGTAGACCTCTGTACTCCGCAAATAACTGGTTCCATCAAAACCACCAACCTTTAAATAAATACACTTTTTATTTATCTATTCTGTGCGTTTGTATATGCACATTGCACAACCATGCATGTATTTACTTAAGTGCAACCTTTAAACTGTGATTGATCCATATTTCTGTATTTGTGTTATGGTTATTATAGTTAATTAAAACTAAACCCTGATGTGTGTGTGTGTGTGAGTTTAATACTCACAGCATACACTAGGTCTGCATAAGCAATCACACCAACAACACTGCGGCGGCTGCTCATGGGAGCGATGAGAGTCCACTGGAACCAGTTGACTCTCATCGCTCCCATGAGCAGCCGCCACATAGGCCGGTCATTTTTGACCAGGAACACCACAAGTGTGACTATGTGCCATATTTTTTACAAAACAAAAGTTTCAAAACAAAATTCCTGGTGAAAATGTTAAGTTGACTAGTGTGATCAACAATACCAATTTTCTTTAGATTTTATTTAATATTTCCAAAATTATTCAAAAAAACAAAAACAAACAAACAATAAAATACCTACTCTCAAATAAATGAGGCCTATTATTCAGAGGCAAATCAAAATATAAAACCAGTCCTAATAGTGAAAATATGGTATAATGAGTGATTTATACGTTTTTTATTTTATTTTTTATGAGAGGCAGTATAGTTATTGGAGGCAGTGTGGTTCTAGCCGCTTTCCGACCAAGTAGTTACAGGAACTTAGTTATAGGAACTGTCCACTTCTAAACAGTTCTAAGAACTACTCTCCCCCAAACTTAGTTTTGCTGCTTGCGTTCGCACTGGCCAAGTGGCCATAGGAACTGGTAGGAGGGGTAACGCAAGCACGGCGTCTTTATCACTAGATGTAGCACGGCCAATACAACAACAACAAACCAGCATGGAGGAGGCTATTATTGCAATGTTCCTGTTCTGCCTTCTTGGAGGCAGTGTGGTTCTGAGAGGCAGTATAGTTCTTGGAGGCAGTATATTTCTGTGAGGCAGTGTTGTTCCCAGTGGCAGTGTCATTCCCAGAGGCAGTGTGGTGGTTCTGAGAGGCAGTATAGTTCTTGGAGGCAGTGTGGTTCTGAGAGGCAGTATAGTTCTTGGAGGCAGTGTGGTTCTGAGAGGCAGTATAGTTCTTGGAGGCAGTGTGGTTCTGAGAGGCAGTATAGTTCTTGGAGGCAGTGTGGTTCTGAGAGGCAGTATAGTTCTTGGAGGCAGTGTGGTGGTTCTGAGAGGCAGTATAGTTCTTGGAGGCAGTGTGGTGGTTCTGAGAGGCAGTATAGTTCTTGGATGCAGTGTGGTTCTGAGAGGGAGTGCCATTCTCAGATGCAGTGTGGTTCTGAGAGGCAGTATAGTTCTGAGAGGCAGTGTGCAGTAGCGTAGTGGCAATCGGGAGAGTCGGGACTTTTCCCGGTGGGCCGGTATTGTTTTGAGGCCGTGAGGGCCGGTCGGTCTGATAATAGTTATACTAGTGTCTGATATTATATTATTAGCAATACCATCTGGCGGCAGGCGGCCTGATGTGCGGCCGCTTCGCCGGTCAAACTGTCACTGTGCAACCTCTCTGTCTCCGCTCAACACTGTGTGCACTGCGAAGCTCAACCCGTTCGGCAGGTCCAACCATGTTGGACCTGGATTTTCAAAAACATAGGGGGGTCAGAGCGCGGCGGCCCCTCCCTAAATGGTATAGCCTGTCGGCCAGCCTGTGATGTAAAAAGTCACCGAACACCTCTTTTCCCGCTTCATGTTTTGAAAGTTTAACGGACGGTCGGTGTGAGTGAGTAACTTAGTACTACTGTACTGAGTAATGATGGAAGAAAGGCAAAAAAGAAAACTGAAAGGTGGCGCTGAGAAGGTCAGACTCAAAAGAAAAAAAATGATGGAGGAGGAGGCATGGAAATGCTCCAAAATTACAGACATGTTCCGGGCAACAACGAGCAAATACACTACAGGTGAAATAAACTGAGTCTGAAGCACTTGTTGTGGGCGGAGTTCGGGCTGGCAACCAGGCTAGTGCTGCGCCAGACTAATCTCAAATATTGTAAAGATTCCTTGTAAGGTTTCATTTTTTTAAATGAACAACACTACACCTGAGAGAAAGTTTAACATTTGGAATACAGCCTCTTTTTGACTGCATTTATTCATGAAACATGACACTCCATTTGTAGTCAGATTGTGCTTGAAGGAGATCATTCACTGTAGGCAGGGCAGCATATTGGGCCATGTTGGTCAATCCTGATGCTACACAACAGCTCATGTAATGAGTTATAATAAGTACAATTTAAGTTGAATGTATTGTTGTTGTTTCCCAAAAATCCTTATTTTATTACTGATATATTTGTTACTGTTTTTTTTTTTTTTTTTTTTTGCTAAATATGCCGATTTTTATATTCACTCTTTAAGGGACCTTTATTTTGACATTTTTTCTTGCCGCCGCGTTGGTGCCATTTTAGAGTGTGTGCGCGCCTCTTGCAGTTTGTATTGAACGCGCTGGGAGAGGTAAGCGTTTTGCAGAGCTCTTGAAATTATGAGCAAAATAAGTTTGCAAAGTGTATAAATTGGTTTAATACCGTTTGTAATCAATGCAGGAATTGCATGGCGTGTTTTGTTGTATGTTACATGCATGAGTGGATTAATAATCTGAAGATTAATCGCGTGGGCCTTATATTGCATGAGTTTTGCGTGTATTAGCACGGTTTTGAGTCAACTGATTGGTGTTGTATCATGCAGGTGAAAGCAATGAGATGCCCTCATGGGATTTTTGTCATCTTTGTGATGTTGAACTTCAGGTATTCCACTTTTATTGCATTTTACATTCTTGTATTGTGTTAATATGTTATGCTTTAATATTATTTGTATGTTCATTAACTTTAATTGTAACAAAATGAGTTTGCATTGAACTCGCTGGGGAGAGGTGAAAGCTATGAGATGCCCTCATGTGATTTTTGTCATCTTTGTGATGTTGAACTTCAGATGCTGCGAAATCCATGCTGAACGTGACTGAATAAACCCCCATGTTGGTGAACTACAATACGTGTCCTAGTCCTATAATACACAACGCAGAGAGACTGAGAAGCGCAACAGCAGTCAGCGAGCGGACCAGTTACACTCAGACCACTGCGTAAATTGGCCATTTCATCTGCAACAAACCTGTATAGAAAACAGATGCAAGGAATGCAATGGAATATAGCCTGCATTAGACTTAGATATCTGCAGTGTGAAATGATCTGTGAGATTTAGTATTTGAGGAAGTTACCATTCATCTGTCATCTTATCATAGCACTCCACATCACAGGTGGTGCTTATTCCAGAGGACTTATTAACCCTCCGACAGCAAACAACCGACCATTAACTACCTGGATTTTGAGGAAGTTAAAAAGGAAAATACATAATGTACAGCTTAAGTCTTTAAATTTACATTAATAAATCTCATTATAGATGCAACGCTTCATTTACAAGCGATACTTCAAGGGATACTCATAGTAGGAAAAAAATAGTAGTAGTAGTAGTAGTTCCATAGTAGTTCTATAGTAGGAAAAAAATACTGTGGAAGTCAATGAGACCAGAAACTGTCTGGTTACTGATATTCTTTTAAATATCATAAAATCGGCTGAATCAATTTGAAAACGGTTAAACTCAACTGTTTAACTCTGGGGGAGTTGTAAAATGAGCCTATTTCCAAAAAAAAAGTGGAGTATCCCTTTAAATATCATTAGAATGTTTTGACACACATTGATATTTGAAGACTTTGATCGTTGACTTTTAAGACAATTTTAGGGTGCAATTATTGTCAATATGGGACCAAATACATTTTCCCCCATATTCATTATCATCAAATCATTTTTGTAAAGTAAGTTATTTCATAGTTTCACCAGAGACAGATATTAACTGACCACATCTCACCTCAATGCCAAAGTTGCTGCTTGGATTGTACATTGATGCCACGGCATGCCAATTGTTTGTCAGCGGATTGTAGACCTCTGTACTCCGCAAATAACTGGTTCCATCAAAACCACCAACCTTTTAAATAAATACACTTTTTATTTATCTATTCTGTGCGTTTGTATATGCACATTGCACAACCATGCATGTATTTACTTAAGTGCAACCTTTAAACTGTGATTGATCATATTTCTGTATTTGTGTTATGGTTATTATAGTTAATTAAAACTAAACCCTGATGTGTGTGTGTGTGTGAGTTTAATACTCACAGCATACACTAGGTCTGCATAAGCAATCACACCAACAACACTGCGGCGGCTGCTCATGGGAGCGATGAGAGTCCACTGGAACCAGTTGACTCTCATCGCTCCCATGAGCAGCCGCCACATAGGCCGGTCATTTTTGACCAGGAACACCACAAGTGTGACTATGTGCCATATTTTTTACAAAACAAAAGTTTCAAAACAAAATTCCTGGTGAAAATGTTAAGTTGACTAGTGTGATCAACAATACCAATTTTCTTTAGATTTTATTTAATATTTCCAAAATTATTCAAAAAAACAAAAACAAACAAACAATAAAATACCTACTCTCAAATAAATGAGGCCTATTATTCAGAGGCAAATCAAAATATAAAACCAGTCCTAATAGTGAAAATATGGTATAATGAGTGATTTATACGTTTTTTATTTTATTTTATTTTTTATGAGAGGCAGTATAGTTATTGGAGGCAGTGTGGTTCTAGCCGCTTTCCGACCAAGTAGTTACAGGAACTTAGTTATAGGAACTGTCCACTTCTAAACAGTTCTAAGAACTACTCTCCCCCAAACTTAGTTTTGCTGCTTGCGTTCGCACTGGCCAAGTGGCATAGGAACTGGTAGGAGGGGTAACGCAAGCACGGCGTCTTTATCACTAGATGTAGCACGGCCAATACAACAACAACAAACCAGCATGGAGGAGGCTATTATTGCAATGTTCCTGTTCGGCCTTCTTGGAGGCAGTGTGGTTCTGAGAGGCAGTATAGTTCTTGGAGGCAGTATATTTCTGTGAGGCAGTGTTGTTCCCAGTGGCAGTGTCATTCCCAGAGGCAGTGTGGTGGTTCTGAGAGGCAGTATAGTTCTTGGAGGCAGTGTGGTTCTGAGAGGCAGTATAGTTCTTGGAGGCAGTGTGGTGGTTCTGAGAGGCAGTATAGTTCCTGGAGGCAGTGTGGTTCTGAGAGGCAGTATAGTTCTTGGAGGCAGTGTGGTGGTTCTGAGAGGCAGTATAGTTCCTGGAGGCAGTGTGGTTCTGAGAGGCAGTATAGTTCTTGGATGCAGTGTTGTTCTGAGAGGGAGTGCCATTCTCAGATGCAGTGTGGTTCTGAGAGGCAGTATAGTTCTGAGAGGCAGTGTGCAGTAGCGTAGTGGCAATCGGGAGAGTCGGGACTTTTCCCGGTGGGCCGGTATTGTTTTGAGGCCGTGAGGGCCGGTCGGTCTGATAATAGTTAGGGGCCAAGCACCGAAGGTGCAGAGGCACCTATTGTATCTGTTGGTTTTATTATTATTATTATTATTAGGGGCCAAGCACCGAAGGTGCAGAGGCACCTATTGTATCTGTTGGTTTTATTATTATTATTATTATTAGGGGCCAAGCACCGAAGGTGCAGAGGCACCTATTGTATCTGTTGGTTTTATTATTATTATTATTATTAGGGGCCAAGCCCCGAAGGGGTAGCCCCTATTGTATCTGTTGGTTTTATTATTATTATTATTAGGGGCCAAGCCCCGAAGGGGATAGCCCCTATTGTATCTGTTAGTTTTCTTATTATTATTATTATTATTCCGTAAATGGAAGTCTATGGCAGCCCTATGAACCGTAAGTAGGAAAATGTTGAAATTTGGCACACTTGTAGTGATGGTAATTATTAGTAATTGGTCCAATTTTTGACCCTCTAGGACCAACTCTATAGCGCCACCACCAGTTCAAAAATCAACATTGAAATGGTTATAACTTTTGAACCCTTTGCTCTAGAGACATGAAACTTAGTACACCTGATTCCTCTCATCATGCTGATCACAACCAATACCTTACATTAAGACCCCGCCCATTACAGTAGAGGCCATTTTGAAATGTACAGTATTCAGTTTTTTCCCTACTCCTCCTTCAAATTTTGTCCAATTCTGTCCAAAATTTGCTCAAATGATCTTCGGACTGAGCCGCACAGAAATGACTGAACAGATTTTTTTTATTCATCTTTGTTCAAAAGTTATGGTGTCGCAAACTTAACGAGGTCCACCCAAAATTGGCTAAGAGGCTGTATCTCGGCCAAAATTGAATCAATCGAAACGAAAATTGGTACGCTTCATCGGAAGCATGTTCTGAGGTTCCATACCAAAGTTGGGAATAGCGCCACCTACGGGTCATGAGATATGCAAAAGTGCTATTTTGGCCAATAACTTTTGAACAGTTTTTCAGAAAATCATAAATGTGGTATCTATGGATTCCTTGGATCATGCCGAATCCGTGGATATCGATTTTGCCATGATGGACTATACCTCGTGTCCGCCATTTTGAATTTTGTCATAATTTGTAATATCTTTAAAACTCTTTGACATTTCTTCACCAAATTTGGCATGGATCATCATTAGCATGCCCTGAAGGTACATGAGAAGTTTTATCACAGCGCCACCTAGTGTTCCCAAGTTATAAGGTTTTTTGTAAAGACGCTTATAACTTTTGCAAATATTGTTCAAAATGTAATTTCTTTATATCAATATGTTCCTTGGCTTATAACGATTCCACCGATGTCTCATTTTTCATTTTCCAACAATGTGACTGTCCGCCATATTGGAGCAAATGAAAAACCATTTTTTCGCTACTCCTCCTTCAGATCTTGCTCAAATTTTTCCAAAATTTGGTCAGATGATCTTTGGACCGAGCCGCACAGAAATGACTGAACAGATTTTTGATATTCGTTACCGTTTTTGAGATATTCGTCTCCAAAATTGACCTAGCCTGTGTTTGTTGCCTTATGCTAGTTAGCTTAGCATAATAATTGTTTAGCATGCTAACCAGGTGCAATTCTTTTGAATGCGGCTCTTCAGCTATCAGGATGACCATTAGCTACGTTAGCATTGAGCTAGCTTAGCATGCTAATTGCGTTAACATGATTTTGTGTGCTTATTCTTATACTGAAGGATCTCCTCTGCAGCTCAGTTATTTGCGTCTTCTGTGTGGCGCAAGCTGCTAAACCACGTGTCACGAATCCCGAACCATTGCGGTCGTGGGTTCGAATCCTGTGTGGCACATGCCCAGACCGCAAGAGGTACTGTGGCCTTAAGTGGTGGAAAAGTTGTTTCAGTTCTAGACATGGTGTCTGTCTGAGAAAGGACTCCAAAAATATAACATGCAGCAAATTTATATATTAAAAAAATCTTAATTTTGAGGTTATTTTCACTTGTACTACTGACCCAACAGTTTTTTTTTTTCCAAATGTCGGAGTTGCTGCTGCTTCCGGGCTTGGCCCCTGCATTGCTGCTTGCAGCTATATTAGCAATTGTTATTGTCAAAATAACAATTTGCTCATTCTTCCGCCAATGGAAGTCTATGGCAGCCCTATGAACCGTAAGTAGGAAAATGATGAAATTTGGCACACTTGTAGTGATGCTAATGAATAGTAATTGGACCAATTTTTGACCCTCTAGGACCAACTCTATAGCGCCACCACCAGTTCAAAAATTCAACATTGAAATGGTTATAACTTTTGAACCCTTTGCTCTAGAGACATGAAACTTAGTACACCTGATTCCTCTCATCATGCTGATCACAACCAATACCTTACATTAAGACCCCGCCCATTACAGTAGTGGCCATTTTGAAATGTACAGTATTCAGTTTTTTCGCTACTCCTCCTTCAAATTTTGTCCAATTTTGTCCAAACATGCGCTCAAATGATCATCAGACTGAGCCGCACAGAAATGACTGGACAGATTTTTTTTAATTTTTCATTCTTCAAAAGTTATGCTTTTGCAAACTTAACAAGGTCCACCCAAAATTGGTTAAGAGGCTGTATCTCGGCCAAAGTTTGATCAATCGAAACGAAAATTGGTATGCTTCATCGGATGCATGTTTTGAGGTTCCACGCCAAAGTTGGAAACAGCGCCACCTATTGTTCCAGAGATATCATTGTTTTTTGAAAAAACGCTTATAACTTTTGCTAATATTGCTTGAAATTAGATTTCTATATGTCAAAATATTCCTTGGGTTACGCCGATTTCAACGATATCTCATATGTTACTTTTGAACAATGTGACTGGCCACCATATTGGAGCGAATGGGAAACAGTTTTTTCGCTACTCCTCCTTCAAATTTTGTCCAATTTTCTCCAAACATGCACACAAATGATCTTCGGACCGAGCCGCATAAAAGTACTGTTCCCGTTTTTTTTGCAATATGGGGAAAAAAAAAGTTATGATGTCGCAAAATGAACAAGGTTGACCCAGAGATGGATCAGAAGCTGTAACTTGTGAACAGTTTGTCACAAAATCATAAAATTGGTATCTATTGATTCCCTGCGTCCTGTCGAATCCAATGATATGCATT